TGCTGCAATTATCCCTTTTTTTTATGGGGAAAATGGTACACATCAAATTATGAGATATCCTAGCAGTTCAAGGAAAAATCAGGTTTTTGTGTCCATAAGTAATATTTTCGAATAAATTGTGGCTAATAATAACCGCTAAATATATATGAAAAATGCAATTAACCTTTTTTTTAAATGGATATCAAGTTCTCCACAACCTAAATTTCTCTTCCTTTTTTTAAAATTATTATTACGAGGGAGAGCAAGAAAAGGAGAGTAAAGATGGGTGTCAGACCTTCTTTAGGAAAACGATGCGACACAGGGGCTATCTTGCCTGATGCCAATGCCATGGCCAAAGGTGAGTGCATGATGCGCAGGGCAATGCACATATTTGCTGGAACGGAAGCAAGGCATTATGTTGGCATTGTGATGCGGATGTGATGGAGGCATGCGATTTCTGATTAACTTGATGTCGGCATCACATAGATGGAATTTAGGGACGGAAGTCAGTTGAGATCTGTTCGAGGCATTATCGTGGGCACATGTTCGACAATAAGTATAGCTCATTGTCCAACTGATTTCAGACTTCAATTTAGTAGCAAAAACAAGCACAAGTATGGCACTTGACAAAAGTATGAGGCAATTTTGCTAAAGGGAACAATACATAACTAAGAGGTTTAGTTTTACCAATTTCAAATTTAAAAACTTAAGTTTAAAATTTCAAATTTCAGATATTTTTAAAATCTATTTATAAATTAATTGATTAAACATATATTTTTTTCATTAACTATATTAAGGTCTCAATTCCATAAATAAATTAANTTTCAAATTTCAGATATTTTTAAATTTTATTTATAAAATAAATAATTAAACATATATTTTATTAATTAAATACATTAAGGTCACAAATTCCATATAATTTGGTCACAAATTCTATATAATTGGTCACAAATCACAATTTTCATATGTCACAAATTATTTTACGATCACAATTCAAAAATTTTATAGGCCACAATTTGCTTATCGATAACAAATCAAAAATTTATCCGTCACAATTTACTCATTGGTCATAAATCCATCAATTTAATTAGTCACATATTATATTTCGATAAAAAACAGAAATTTCATATGTCACAAATTATTTTATGAACACAATTCAAAAATTTTATAGGTCACAATTTGCTTATCTATCACAAATCAAAATTTATTCGTCACAATTTACTCATTGGTCATAAATCCATCAATTTAATTAGTCACATATTATATTTCGATCACAATTCAGAAATTTTTATAGTTCACAAATTGTTCATCGATCACAAATAAAAAATTTATACATAACAATTTATTTATCAAATCACAAATATTATAAATCACAACTTAATAAACAGTCATAAATTGTTAAATGATCGGTCACAAATTAAATTTTTTTTAGGTCACACATTATTATTTTTTTGTCACAATTTATCTTTTTCATTGGTCATATATTATTTATTGGTCACAGATTAACCAATTTAATGGTCACAATCAACCAAATAATTTGTTACCACAACCAACACTTGTGACCACTATCGCACCACTCCCTCTAGCAGCACCACAATAGCTTTCGTCGCAAGAACCACCACCACCTCCTGGCGCAACACAACCACCTCAAACTAATCAATACATAGCAGAAAAATACCACCACAACGTCACGCCATTCTACCACCACCGCCGCCACCAACAAAACCACATTCACTTTCAAAAATACTCCAGTACCCAAAACCTCACTACATCCCATACCTAGCCTACCCAAATTCAACATCGTCTTCCTCCTCCAAACCCTACAGTAACCACCATCGCCGCAACCATATTCCCCAATCCTGAACCACCACTTCCTCCCACTGACAGCCATCATCGTCGGCACCACCACTCCCCTCAAACTACACCATTGATTTCTTCATTCCTCACCATAGCCCACCACCACTCTCTTCAAACCACAGATTGTTGCCGAGGCGGTGGGCAGATTGCTGCCATCGCAACAGATTGCTGCAGATGGGTAGATTGCTGCCGACGGCAGTGCGCGATCTCGAGCAGCGCCACTCCTGCGTCTTCTCGTCTGGCAGCGATGGTGAGGTAGAGATAAGGGGAGGTAGAGTAGAGAGTGTGTGGAATAGAGAGGAGAGAACCGACGACAGTGAGGAAGACTGTTGCTGTGGTCCAATGAGGAAGGTTGTGCTTCCAATAGCCAGCATATTGCTAAATATGATTTACAATTAGGAAGGCTGTGCTTCCAATAGCCAGCATAATTCGGAAGGCTCCAGTGGTGGCACAACAAAGAGAGAGAGAGAG